GGAGGAGGAGGAGGAGGAGGAGGAGGAGGAGGAGGAGGAGGAGGAGGAGGAGGAGGAGAAGGAGAAGGAGAAGGAGGTGGAGGAGGAGGAAGATGAAGAGGATCCAGAACGGCAGCCCCGACCGAACCCAAAGGAACGGAAGAAGGCCGAATTGAAGGACAGGCCTCAGGGAACCCGAGGCCAGACGAATAGATCAACCCATAGGTCGATCACGGAGGAGATCAGCCGAGGAGGAGGAGGGGGGGATAGCAAAGGGCAGGGCAGATAATCCTCTCGCGTAGCTGAAATTTTCCCAGCGCCTCCCTGCGCCGGGAGGCGCCCATGCATCGAGGAGTGGGCCCAGCGGCGGGACCGAAGCCAGCTGCATGCAGCAGATTTCGTATCCCCCCCTTTCCCTATCCCCGCCTCCCGTTCGGCCCGACACACGGAGCGACGAGCAACAAAAAGCGGGTCGTAGGGGGATGCACAAGGACGTGCTAGTACCGTGTGCCCCCCTCCCCAGAGCTCCGCGCGTTGCGAGCAACATCTCGACGGGAAATTGTTCGCGATCTTCGGTCTCTGGGGGCCCTCGCTGGGCCTCGGGGCCGTCAAAAAACGACTCGGGATGAAAACCTGGTCCCAGGGAAAGGGTCCAGAACTCTGGGGGTTGATGTTGCCAACGAAAGTCACGACGTCGGGGGTCTTGGTCGGAGGCGTGCGCCCGACCAGGACATCTCGCACATCCATCTTGTAGAACATCGTCTTACGCGAGATGACACAGCGACCTTACGCGGTGGCTTACGCTTGCCGCCCGCGCGGCACGCTGCCTTTGAGACGAGGGCGCTTACGCGCGGCCTTGCGCGGGCAGTTTGTGCGCCAACGTCCGCGAAGACGGCTCTGGTTTTCGGTGTCGCCCACATGGGCACCTTCTGGGGTGCTGCGGGTGCGGCGCCGGAGCGCTGAGTCGGGAGTCATTAGAGGCCTCCTAGGTGGGGTCCGAGTAGATCGGGTTGGAGGATCCCGCCGCATCGCCGATACATCGGCGATGCATCGCCGATGCATCGGTGATGCACTGGCGACGTCGACGATGCATCGGCGACGGCGAAGCGGAGAAATTGTGCCTCCGCATCGAGCCGTATCGCCGATGCATCGCCGATGCATCGGCGATGCGGCACGATCCTCCGACCCCATCTACTCCGACCCCGATCTGGGAGGCCGCGAGTGATCGAATCAAGAAAGGTCCAGTCGGCATCGAGCCGGGAAGCCGGACCGAATCGGCGAGCGTGCCAGGTCGGGCTGCAGCGGCACTAAGCCGGAATCGGAGTCGGGCTGGGCGCGCTAGGATGCACACCAGGATGCACAGCAGCAGCGCAACGCGACCATTTGAGCAGGGACCGACCGTCCCGGTCTTCCTATAAGCCTGCCACGACATGCTCTTGGAAGATCGGGCCAGCCGAGATCGGTATCGAACCAGAGCGATCGGGGTCGAGATGGGTCTGGTCGGCGACCTGCAGGCCCAGGCGGGCCACTTTCACGCTGGGCCCCGCGAGGTGATCCCCCCCCCCGAGGAGGCAGCAAGCAATTAGGTCCGCGGACATGGGCAAGGGGTTGGACGCTCACTCTGGAGACCTTCCTGACACTCGCTCCACTCGTGCGTCGAAGCTGTGTCGAACGTCCGTCGATGCGAGTCGACCCTGAGTCGAAACTGAGTCGAACTTGAGTCGAACTGGGGTCGATCAGATCCATCAGGTAGGCCCCAGACACGTCCCCAATACGAGCATCTGAAAAGGGGGCATTCCTCGGCGACCGCTCCCGCTGCCCGGGCGGCGGGCAGCAACCCCTCTCTTTTTCTTGTGTTCCCGGCCCCAGACACAAGACCACCTGCTCCGACAGCGCTCAGAAGTGGCAAAACGCATGCCGGGAAGCACGTAAAGAGCCGATCGCGAGAGGGCGAGTCTGGGTTCGAGGCCTTGGCTCGTGCCAACTCTGACCACAACTGGACCTCTGCGCGGTGGCACCTGCGGAAAGGCACCTCCCCAATGCCCATCCCCACTGGTGGAGGACGCTCACACGTAAAACGCGGTGTGCAACGCATGGCCTTCTGCACGAGCTGTTGGCCACGCACCAGCTTGGCAGCGCTCGAGCGCGACGAAAGGCAACGGTACATGAATTGGCCAGTGGACACACTGGGGCTGAATACGACATGTCTCCCCCACTCCTCCACGTCCTGCATGCGAATTGGTGAGCGTCAGTGCGGAAACTCCTCTCTCAGAAGTCCACGTCCAGTGCGAAACCTTTGGCCTCGTCCCCCGAGGCGTTCGTCGAGGACATGACCCCAGCTTTCTGGTAGTCGCCGACGCGCTTCTCGAAGAAGTTGGTCTTCCCCTGCAGCGAAATCAGCTCCATCCAGTCGAACGGGTTGGACGCCCCGAACAGCTTGGAATGGCCCAACGCGGTGAGCAAGCGGTCCGCGACGAACTCGATGTACCTCGTCATGAGGTCGTTGTTCATGCCGATGAGGTCACAAGACAGCGCGTCACAAATGAAGACACGCTCGGCCTCCACCGCGCCGCGGACGATGGTGTGGATCACGTCCTCTGGCAAGGGGTTCTGGAGCTTCCCGTAGAGTAGGCACGCAAACTCCGTGTGCAAGCCTTCGTCTCGTGAGATCAGCTCGTTTGAGAACGTCAAGCCCGGCATCAGCCCGCGCTTCTTCAACCAATAGATCGCACAGAACGAGCCACTGAACAATATACCCTCCACAGCCGCAAAGGCAACGAGCCGCTCGGCGAAACTGTTCTCGTGGTTCATCCACTGCACTGCCCACTCCGCCTTCTTCTGGATCGCTGGCATTGTATGGATCGCATCGAAGACCATCTCCTTTTCGGCTGGGTCCCTGATGTACTGCTCAATCAGGAGAGAATACGTTTCGGAATGGATGTTCTCCATGGCCATCTGGAAGCCGTAAAAGGCACGCGCCTCTGGAGACTGGACCTCAGTGGTGAACTGGGCGGCCAAGTTCTCCAGTACGATCCCGTCAGAGGCAGCGAAGAACGCGAGCACATGCTTGATGAAGTGCCTCTCACTGTCTGCCAGCGTCTCCCAGTCCCGGAGGTCCTGCGAGAGGTCGATCTCCTCCGCCGTCCAGAAAGATGCCTCGTGCTTCTTGTACATCTCCCAGATGTCGTGGTGCTTGATGGGGAACATCACCCAGCGCTGAGAGTTCTCCTGCAGCAGAGGCTCGGACTTCTCGAGCTCGCGATACTCGGCGGAGATGCGGCTGACCGCGGCCGTCATGGCAGCTTGGGCCAGCGGCGCCATCCTTCACCACGGATACTTCCGGGGCTCCAGCTGCGGGCTCACGGCGTCCAGAAGGCCAAAATGGCTTGAGCCGAAATGGCTGTGGCGGCGGTCACCAGCCACTGGAACGAAGGCCCTGGCGACGGGGCGGGGGACAGGCGGGAAACCGAAGGCAGAAAGAAGACAGGGAGGCCCAGGGAACGGACTGGCCAGTCCGCCCCAGGCGGACCACCGTCACAGGTCCCAGACGGAACAGGGGCCGGGGCACGCCAGCCGCATGCACTTGACAAACTGGTGCACGCGACGGGCGCAGCACAACCCGAAGCGAAAGCGTACACCAACGGGTCTGGTACTTGGGCTTGCGTCGTCCACGGGAGGGGAGAGGCACGCAGAGGCAGGGACCGCAGGGAAGGGAGGGGAAAGAGCCGGGGCCGGCTACTTCCGCGCGCCGCGCTGCGAGGGGCACGGTGAAGGCGGCGTCCCCAGACCCCCGACGTCGTGGCTTTTTCACAAAGTGGACCCCCAAAAGTCTGGACCCCTTCCCCGGGACCAGTTTTTCGTCCAGAATCGTTACTTGACGCTCCCGAGGCCTGGCGATGGCCCCTGGAGGCCGAACATCGCGAACAAAACCTCCCGTCGTGATTTTTTCACATCGCGAGGAGGTCTGGGGAGGACGCCGCCATCCGAAAAAAGGTCCAGTCCAACTCTACACGCCGAGAAGAAAGGGGGGAACGGCCACGCAGGGAAGAGACCGAAACTCGAGAAAAACCTCGTCGTTATTTTTTTCACAGCGCGAGGAGGTCCGGGCCCTCGCGCCCCCTTGGGGCTTTGGGAGTGCACAAGCGCGCAGCGCGCACGTGCTCGCGCGCCACCCTCGAGGACAATCAAAATCTGCACGAGCCGAGGCCGGGAAACGGTTTGGGCATGACGGTCCACGGCACCCGGGCTGGGCCGGGCTGGTTGGCCAGCCCGTCAGCGCCCCCGGGCATGGCGCCCAGGAAGCAGCAGCAGCAGCAGCAGAAAACCGAATGATCGACGATGAAAAACGGGTCTTCCGCGAGATGGCGTGGCGACCCTACGCGGTGGCTTACGCGGGCCGCCAGCGCGGCGCGCTGCATCGGAGACGAGGGCGCTGACGCGCTACCTTGCGCGAGCAGCTTACGCGCCAATGTCGGCACCTCGTTTTCTTGCGTCGCTCAAGTGAACGCGACCAGACGACTGAGGAACGAAACGGGCAGGGTTGATTCAAAAAATGTGTCCCTCGTCTGGGCCGCTGGCTGCGGCCCGGCGGCCTCGACAACAACGACGACGAACACGAACCGTGACCCCACCAGCCCTTTAGGGCGTGAGTGGTTTAGGGCGTGTCATGTTCCACCCCCCTTATCTCCCCCTTCGGGCCCCAAAAGGCGCCCAGGAGGCCCCAAGAGGCCTCCAAGAGGACCCCCAGAGACTCCCAAGAGACTTCCAAGAGGCCCCAAGAGGCTCCCCCGAGGCACCCAAGACGCTCCAAGAGGACCCTAGGACTGCCAATAGGCCCCCCCCCAAGACGCCCCAAGAGGACTTCACGAAGCTTTCAAGAGACATCCGAAGATACTCCGAGAGGCATCCAATAGACGTCTGGCCGTTCTGCTCGCCCTCCTCCTCCTCCTCCTCCTCCTCTTCCTCATTGTCCTCCTCCGCCTTTTCCTCCTCCTCCTCCTTCCTCCCTTTTCCCATCTCTCCCACCCGCCCCCTTCCCCCTCCTCATCCTCCTCCGTCGACGACGGCGATTACTCCTCCATCCTCTCCCTCTTGGGGTACGACGGCTTCCCCAGCCGGTTATTCCACTGCATGCTCCTACACCTCCCCGATCAGTGCACGTCGCCTGGGCGTCGTTTCTGGATGGGCTGGCCAGGTTACGCGAAGAGTCTAGAACATGTTATGTATCGTCCTCTTCCCCGATGGTACCCCGTCCCCGCAGGACAATTTTTAATTCGAGGATCTACTGACCCGGGTCAATCCGAACTCGGGTCAGTCAGGCCTTGCAAGATCCTGTAACATCCTGCAAGATCCTGCAGGATCCTGCACCCAAGCCCAGGTCAGTGCACCCCTGGCTCTGCAGGATCCTACCAGGTCTGGCGCTCTGACTGACCCCCGTTTGCATTGTCCCCCATCTCTTGAGCCCCGATTAAACCGCTTGGTCGCATTATCCAGGGGCGAGTGTTGCTGGGCATTACCCCGACATGTTTCGCTGCCCTGTACAGGTCCGCCGCGGGGCACGCATCTGGAACTGCCCGCTGGAGCTGCGCCAATGACGGGTGTAGGCAATCGGCGGGGGGGAGGGCCGGGGGGGCGGGACCCGACGACCTGGGCAATCATCAAACTCACAACAACGACTTCAAGCAACGGTCCATCACCGCACAACTTTCAAACCCGGGCCAGCGGCGGGGATACGGCTACCATCACCCCACGGATGTCAAAACCCCGGTCGGCCACACAGCTCTTGCGCTGGCTCCCGCCGTGGGCGAGAACAACCGAAGGCGAGGCCTTTTCTGGAGCGCTCCACGTGTCATCACGTCCGTGCCCCTGCGTCCACCCCACCGCCCCACTGCGCCCCACCCCGCACATCCCATCCCTGGGCCACACTCTAGGACAACAGGCCCCGTTCTTGACCCGGACATCGCCAGGCCACGCACACACACGCACACACGCACACACGCACACACGCACACACGCACACACGTACACACGCACACACGCACACACGCACACACGCGCACACGCACACACGCACATACGCGCGCACGCGCACGCGCACGCGCACGAGCACGCGCACGCGCACGCGCACGCGCGCACAAGCACGCGCGCACGCGCGCACAAGCACGCGCGCACGCGCGCACGCGCGCACAAGCACGCGCGCACGCGCGCACAAGCACGCGCGCAAAAGCACGCGCGCAAAAGCACGCGCACAAGCACGCGCACAAGCACGCGCACAAGCACGCGAGCACGCGCGCACAAGCACGCGCGCACGCGCTCACGCACGCACGCACGCACGCACGCACACACGCACACACGCGCACACGCACACACGCACACACGCACACACACACACACGCACACACACAACACAACACAACACAACACAACACAACACAACACAACACAACACAACACAACACAACACAACACAACACAACACCACACCACACCACACCACACCACACCACACCACACCACACAACACAACACAACACAACACACACACACACACACACACACTCCACATGCTCCTTATCACCCTCCCCTTCCACGATGCCCCTCCCCGACTCCCGAGGGGAGGGGAGGGGGGGGCGGGAGGGGGGGGGGAAGTTCAGGCTCTCTGCGTGCTGCTCGCCCCGGGGAGGGGCGAGGAGGGGCGAGGGAGGGTGGAGGGCTCCACAACTGACTACCTACCAGACCACCCCAACCCAACCCGAAGGCCCGAATTTCGGGTTGGGGGGGGTAAGGGTTCCACGCGTGTTTTTTCGATGTTCCCCGACCCCCCCCCACTGGAAATCGACTGTAAATCTGAGCCTTCGGGTTGGGTTGGGGTGGTTTGGTGGGTGGTGAACGACTGCGTGAGCCCAAACTGTCGCAGCTGCGCGCGGACTTCTTGGACCTGCGCTGGAAACCCAGGGGCCCCCAGCGCAGGTCCGAGGCAACCTCGCGCAGCTCCAAGCGTTCAGCATAGTATGCCGCTTTCTCGTCGAGGAGGGGACGAGGAGCGGGGGGGCGATCACGCCTCCCCGCATGCCGCCCGACGATGCCCGCGCAGGTGGGGGCGCGGACTCCGCGCCTACGAGGACCCGGCCAGAGATGGCGACCAGGAAGGGCGTCCACGGCCCCAGCAGGGTGGACACCCCCATGGCGGCGCCCTGGCGGCGTCCCCACGAGCGACGCTCCCTTGGCCGCACTCCTCCTCCTCCTCCTCCTCCTCCTCCTCCTCCTTACAGCTTCATCCCTCCCCTCCCTACCTCCTTTCTCCTTTCCCTCCTTCGGCCGTGCTTCTCATCGGTCACCAGTCTTTGCTGGGGGCCAGGCGTGCGGGGCGTTTTTTGTTTGTTATGGGCAACAACGGACTAGAGCATGGAAAACCATATAAACAAAAAACTTGTGGCGCTCCGTGCGGATTTCTTGGATTCGCGCTGGAACCCCCTCCCTGGCGCGCGGAGCGCGCCAGGGGCGGCGCCGAGGGGCCCAGGCGCGGATCTAAGAAATCCGCGCGGAGCGCAGAAAGTTTGTGTTTATGGCGTTTTTCTTCTTCGACCCTTGTCGGGGGCCTTCGGGAGCTGCGCGATACGGCGCGCAGCCAGCCCTGCGAGATCCGCCAGGCGGCCGCCGGCGCATCGCAGGCCCGCCCAACGCACGTCTGCGGGGTGCACGTGGTTTTGCGCGGACTTACAGAGTAAGCGGGCGCGGCGGTGGCAACGGAATCTCCCCAGCGCCGCTCGGCCATGATCGGCATGACCGCCGTGGGCACCGGCGTTGCTGCCGCTGCGCCGGGCCCGTGGCTTCCGCTGCGAGCAGGAAGCTATCTCGGCACTCCTCACTCCAGCGCGTCTCTGGGGCGGGCGCCGTTGCTCGGCACCCAGGCGGGTTACGCGTGCAGCCGTCGGGCGCGCAGTCCTCCCCCGCGCCCTGGGCTGCCTTGGGCTGGGCTTCTCTCCTCAGCATTTGTTTTCGGTGAGTCTCGGGGGGCCTGCTGTTCAGGATGGCTGCGCACGGCTCTCAATCAGGACGATATCATCAGCATCGCCACGCCAGCCATCATAATCAACAACGGCATCAAGCCCACCACCATCATCAACAACTTCCTCTTCATCGTGCCCCCTCACCGTTCCTCCACCTCCTCCTCCTCCTCACCTTCCTACGTTTCCTCTTCCTCCTTATCCTCCTCTTCCTTCTCGTCGGCGTCCTCCTCTTCCTCCTCCTCCTCCTCCTCCTCCTCCTCCTCCTCCCCTCAACCCCCTCCTCATCCCCCTCGTCCGTGACTCACTCCCCATCATCCCCCTCATGTTTCTCAGATTCCTCCTCATCCTCGCAGTCCCAAGTCTCCTCCTCTTCCTCCTCCTCTTATTCCCCCTCCTCCTCCTCGTCCTTTTCCTCCTCTTCCCTGCCCCCTTCTCCCCTTCCCTCCTCCGCCTCTTCTCCTCTACGTATTCTGCTGCTGTTCCGCCGCCCCTTTTCCCAGGTTGGAATTGTTCCAGATCCA